TTTTCCTGCAGTGGAACAAAGCAGTGGAACTTGCCAGGACACACAATATGAAGGAGATTAAATCTCTCCTTTCAAAATATGCGTCACATCTTTTGGAGAAAAATAAAACTCTGGAGGCAGTGGAGCTGTATCGAAAAGCTCACCATTTTCTTGATGCAGCCAAACTCATGTTTAAGGTAAGCCAACATTCTTATTCATGTAAACCAGCTTTATAGATTAATTTTAAACACATATATAATTTTTATTTTGCTGTATGTTTTCATTAACAAGTTAGGTCCTACATTTAATATGGACTTAAATTAGAAAGTCCTTAAAAAGTTAAATGTACCATGCCTTTACTCACACTTTGCCTCAAGTTTGCCAAAGTGAATTAACTCTTTACGCCTTGAAAGCCTACTCGGAGCATCCCTTAACGATATTTCCTGAATGGTTCCTGTCATATTTCAGGCTTTTTTATAAAACAAAATGACTGGGTTTGCATGAGATGTCAGTGAGGGTGGTCTCTGCTTGTGCAGCTACGTTTGGGGAAAAAAAAGAGAAACTAAAGGTCGTCAGATCACGTTTTTATAAGATAAGATAAGATAGAACTTTATTAATCCCTCGGGTGGGTTCCTCTGGGAAATTCGACTTTTATTGAGTTCATCAAATATTATCTTTTTGGGAAAAGAGTTAACAAATAAAGATTCTGGTTCGTTCCATGAAAGATCAGTCAGTGCTTTGCACATTAATGTTGACACAGAACAAATCTCATCGGGAAGATGAGCCTTGTATAAACTTGAAATAAAGCAAATAAATAATACTTGTTGATGTAATACATTTGCAAAAGTTCTGAAAACATGTTTTCACTTTGTCACTTTACGCAACTGAGTGTAGGTTGCTGAGAAAGAAAAATACATTTGTGAAAGTTTAGCTTATGTTTGCAGATAGCAGATGAGGAGGCAAAGAAAAGGACACGACCTCTGAGGGTGAAGAAGCTCTACGTGCTGGCAGCACATCTAGGGGAAAATTACCACAAGCAGGTGAAGACGTCACAGCAGAGCAAAGGCAAAGGAAAGAAGACGGAGGTAAACCATGTGCACACGTACTATTCCAAATCTTTCCAGTGCATTAGACATTTTTCTGCTGTAACTGTTTGAATAAATTATTTGTGATGTGTTTCAGAGAAAAGAGTCATTCTTGTGCTTATGTGGAAAGACGTCATCTGTTTATGCACAGAGGTTTGTGTTCATATCATTGTGTGTATCTTTGTCTGTAATTAGGCGACGCATGCACTTGCTAGCCTGCTGGAGGAAGATGCAACATCTGCAGACAATCGCATTGTGGACAATGCCTGGCGAGGAGCAGAGGCATATCACTTCTTCCTGCTCACTCAGAGGCAGCTGTACGATGGCTACTTGGAGAATGCCATGCGCACAGGTGCCAAATCACTCCTTAGTACTTATTATATTACTTACATTATATAATCATACTTTATATTCTAATATATACACATTGATTTACCTTTTTTGTTTTTCTCTCTAAAATGTGAGAATTTTCTGCTTCTCTGTTTAAAAAACTGATGCAAATGAACTTGGTTTTGTACTTTAAGTCGAATACAAAATACCAACAAGAAACCTTTCTGCTGTTCTGTTTCTGCTGCTTTAATCTGCTGAATTCTTAAACTGTACGAAATTGAGAGACAGTGAAAATATTTTTTTCTTGACTACACGAGCATTTTTGCATGTTTTGTACTGTTCTTTGTGTCTTTTAAACAGTGTGTTAGGGCTGAGCAATTAACCAAATGTCTATTTTATCATTTCCACATGCTCCAGCGGTGTGATGAAAAAATCACTGTTAAATTTTTCCCTTTCAGCTTTTTTCTTTACAGCTCATTTCCTTTACCTCTGTTGGATTTTTTTTTGGACCAGCAGTGTGGCCCAAAATTACTGTAGTTATTATTTGCTTATTTAATAATGGTCATAATTGAGAAACTCTCTCATTTAGTGTAACATATTTCAAGACTGCTTATTAGGCTAAAATGTTGCCCTGTTAATCTAAATCTCATTATAGCCAATGGGGCGTTGCCAGGAGATTCCCAGTTGGCATGAGGAACAGCCATCAAAAGCAGCAATATTATAAAAACAGGAATGAGTTTACAGAACTCACCTTCTCTCTGTCACCCTTACCTATAGACCTTTATGCTCTCACCACAGTGTCCCTAAAGGTGCACAAAGGCTTGCCCTTCTCTCTCTAAGCAAGACGTGGAGTGTCTACAGTGCGTGCTTCTCTACACATAAGTTTGGACAAGTCATCAGGTGTAATGGATTGTCAAAGTTCGTTCCTGTTTCTTTCATTTAAGGAATATTTCTAAATTGCAACATATGGTCTCCTTAGCTGAACTGGAAAAAATTGTCCATGCATTTGTGTCATCGCGTTTAGATTATTGTAATTCCCTGTTTACCAGCTTGGATAAATCATCTCTTTCTCGCCTCCAAGCTATACAAAACGCAGCAGCCAGACTACTAACTCGCTCTAGCAAGCGAGCTCACATCACTCCTATTTTATGTTCTTTACATTGGCTCCCAACAGATTTTAGAATTCATTTTAAAATCATTGTTTTAACGTACAGAGCACTAAACAGCCCCAGATAATTTATCCAAGCTTCTCACAAAATACACTACTGCTCACCGTCTCCGCTCACAGACTCAGTTTGTTGGTTGCTCCCAGAACACGTCTGAAGACGAAAGGGGACAGAGCCTTTCAGTCTGTGGCACCAAGGCTGTGGAACAGTCTACCTCTACAACTACGTTTGGTTGACTCTGTGGAATCCTTTAAAAAACAGTTAAAAACGTTACTGTTTAAACAAGCTTTCTGTTGACCAATGCTTTTTACATTTTTATATGTTTAATTTACATTTAAACTCTATATTGTGTATATTGTGCATTTTGCTATTTATCGTACTGTTTATTTTAATCTCTGTGTGCAGCGCTTTGTGACTACCTGTCTATGAAAAGCGCTTAATAAATAAACTTTACTTACTTACTTAAAGGAAAGGTGTAAGCAACAGGGAGAAAGTAAGGAAAGAGATGCAGCTGAAAAATAAGTGCCACCTGACATGGATTTTTCACAAACGTGCATAGCAAAGGGCAGATGGTGGAGAGACTGAAGGAAGAACTCTTCAGTCATAAGCACAAGTTAAAAATGGGTTGTTGCTTTTTCTTTTTTTATATATTGCTGTGGCATATGTTCAATTTCATGTGTTTATGTTATTTTTCGATTCTTTTTTGAAACACTGTCTTTTGTGAGAAGCAAATCATTTTCCTGGTCACGTCTGCTGGCCTTTCATAGATCTAGACATGGAGCTAAATGGTCGTATGTCTACAGTGTAAACATTCTTTGCATAGATAAGCATATTTTTACCAGATATGCAAAAAGTTCTTTTGGTTAACCGTAATCCTTCTTCTAAATTTAACATTAATCATCAGCTGCAGTGAAGCCACTTAGCCTCGATTTATGAAGGAACGATCGCAGATCAGTGCCTTGGGAAATGATACATTTTATTTTTTCATTTACATATCTTTTGGTCTTTGGCGGTTTTGTAATTTCACTTGTCCTATACTCAGCATAAGCCTGACTTTTCACTATTTATTATTAATTGATTTTGTTGGTTTTTTGTTTTGTTTTTTTAAGCTCTTCACCTGCGTGAGTATGAGGACATGATCCCTCCTGTGGACATCTATTCTCTGCTTGCTGTCTGCTCTGCAGCCAACCGCGCCTTTGGCACCTGCTCACAGGCCTTTATTAAGCTGGAATCCCTGGAGAGTCTTGATCCTGAACAGCGGCAGGCCTATGAGGATCTGGCCTTGGAGATCTTTACAAAGCACAGCCCAAAGGACAGTCGCATGATCGAGTGGAACGCATCATCAGAGGGGTGAGATTTATCGCTAATTAACTTCAAACTCTATCATCAAACTGAGAGCAGCGTCATCTCCCAAAGTTGTGAAAATTATGTCTAGATGTAAACTTTTTTTTATTTTATTTTACTGTTATGTTGATTTTGGCGATGATAGTTGAAAGACATGGTGGAGTATAAAGTTTGTAGCTGGTTAGTTGATTAGCAAGCTTCATCTCTAAGCAATGCAGTGCAATGAACAGATACAGTTACCTTGTAATTACTGCATTAACCAACAAGGGAAGTCTGTGAGGACTAGTGGTCATTGGAGAAACTGCAGCTATTAGCCCCAAATGTTGTGTTGTGATTCATCTCCTTAGGTTTATGAAATAAACTAAATCTAGAACTACAAAACGAGAAAACAGCCACGACTCAAAACCAGAACCGAACTTAAACACATTTAAAATGGAGCACCGAAAGCAGGAATCAGTGGCCTCTGCAAAACTTCTGGTCTTTCCTTTGTAGCCCTTTTACTGGTGCATTGTTTTGATGACAGTATGACCTGAAGCAGCTTTCTGTCTTTTGTTTTTTTTCTCCTTATTTTGTCAGGATGGAGGAAAGATTTCGCACTTGCATCGTAACTGGTCTGCCTGTCCAGGAGTACAGTTGTTGGATTTGCAATGTCTGCAAACACTGCGCTCATGATCAAGAAATCAGCAAATATAACTGCTGCCCGCTGTGCCACACTCCTATACTGTAAAAGGAGAACAAAAGATGAGAAAATATAAGTTATTTTCATAGAAAACAGAGAAATGTTAAATCATTTTAACTACTTTCAGGCTTAAAGTTTAAAGTTAAAGTTCCTGAACAGGCAGCTACAGAGGAGCTACCAAAACAAGATTCACCCTAATCTTTGACTTTTACTATAAGCAGTGTAAAATACTTTGGTTCTTTGTATCTGTTTTCACGTAAATAAATAATTCTGTTAATAAAACAGCTTAAACTGTTTCTTTGTTCAACCGGGAGGAGAAGCCAATGCTGAACCATGTTGAAGAGATTATCTCTTGGCTGGGCCGGTGTCTTCACAGAAGAGCAGGAGAAGGTGGCCGGGGAATGGGAAGCGTGGGCATCTCCTGTGTTAAACTGCTGACTTCATGACCTGGAAGAGCTGGAAAAGAGAGAGACAAGGTTAGCACCAAGACCTTTTAAAGAAGACATTTCTAACATAAATTGGAGCAGAAAACGTGCAAAGTGGTGCAAAAAAAAAAGTCACCAGAATGCAAGAAATGAAGTGTCTCAGTACTCCTCAGGACTAAGTGCATCCAGCCACATGAAATCTCTCTTTGTGTGGTCGCCAGGGCACAGCTTCTGTTATCCATTTTATTTTTAGTACATGGAAGAAGGACGACATTTTCGAGGTCTGTAATTTCACATAAAAAGAAAAACTACAGAGCAAGAGGAGAGGGATCAATTTTTAAGAAATAAAACTCAAAATGTGTGAGTTTAGGCTCAGATGTTAAAACAAAAATATACAAGAATAAACAATGAAATTTTGGGGTTTCATTGCGCAAGGCTGGTTCAATCTCCTCAGCCTGCACGTCTGTGGATGTATATTGAATATATGGAGGTTATAATTTCCTTCATATAGCCTTTAATTTGATTACATTTCTTTCTGATTTCTTGAATATGTATGACTTCATAATAGTAGAAAATTTTATGTTTTTCTCTGATTATCGTTTTTACTAATTTTGACTTTAAACTCAGAAGCTTTGAGGATATTTTTGTCATAATTTTACGGCTTGTCATGAATATTACCCCTTCTGAAGATGTCATTATATCGTTATTTATTTCTGTATTTTATTAATAATGTTTGTAATGCAGCATTAGAAAATTGAGAAGCTTTTGAACTTTAAAAAAAAAAATCCACATTAATGATGTGAAATGCCTCCATCACTGTTGACTGTAGGCAGACTAGTTCTTTTGTTTCATATCTTATTCTGCCCCCTGCTGGTAGGAAACTGCATCAGTGAGCTGTGTAGGTAATTACACTATATTGCCACAAGTATTTGTTCATCTGGCTTCACGTGCATATGAACTTAATCCATATTATTGAATATGTCGGCCAGCCCACCCACCCTTTGCAGGTAAACACCATCAGCTCTTCTGGGTATTTTGGGATACACAAGATGTCTGTGAAGGTTCTCAGTCATCCAGGTCATCGTAGTCAAAGGAGCTTGCAAAGAAAAGCGTCTGGACTTCTTTACTGATGGGTTCACTTGCAGAAGTTAAGACATTTTATTACACTGAGAAATATAAAGGTGCTAACTATTGCAAAAAATTGTGATGCTATAAAAGAATGATTTTCATTTCAAAATAAATAAAATAGCTGTGACAGACTGGCGGCCTGACCAGGCTGTACCCTGCCTCTCGCTCTGTTGCAGCTGGGAAGACTCCAGTAAGTAAAGCTGCCTTTTGTCTGTTTTGGGAGTGTTTTCTTTGTAGCACATGCCTAAGCCAAGCTGTATTTTGCCGATGTGTGGGCACCGGACCAACACAAAGAAAAACAACCATCCTCACTTTCATCTTCTTGCTTGCTTCTTTAGTTAGGTTAAAATTATTACCTAAAATGTTGCAGCCACAGTACTAATAGTGAGATATTATTTCTCCCTTATTAGTTTGTCTTCGCCCTTTTAACCTAGAACTGAATTTAAAATCCTTCTTCTCAGATATAAAATCCTGAATGGCCAGGCTTTATAGTAAAGACCTCATAGAATCAACAGAGCACCTCACTGGGATACAGGCTTATTCGTGGATCACAGAGTTTCTAAAAGTAGAATCAGAGGCAGATCCTTCAGCTTTCAGGCCCGTCTTTTGCATGCAGGAGACAGACGCTCTCAACTTTGAAGATCAGGTTTCAAACTTTCCTTTTTGGTTACTGCTGGATCAGATGATGCTGATCACCAGGTGTCAAGTCATTTCTCATTAAAAAGGAGCTTTTCCTCCTCAGCATCACCAATTGCTACTCACAGCGGATTATCCAATTGTTGGGGTTCTCGTGGTGCACTTGGGTCAAAGCACAGGGAGCTGGCCACTGCTTCTGATTTATACGCTGGGTTAAATGCTGAGAAGGAGTTTCCCTCCAAGGATCATTAAAGATATCCTTGTTCATTTTCCACATGTCATCAAGGCTTCTGTTCACTATTTACTCATTTTCAAGCTGCCCTATCATTAGATGCTACAAACTTTGAATTAATATTTTATGCAGGAATCATTCTTTAATGACTGCATTTGTGTTTGTATCTTACCTATACTGATAACTTTGTGACCAATATTCTAAAATTTAATATAATTATAGTTTTCAGGCATTCCAACAGATTGTTTCTTGGCTTTTGTTTTAGTAGTGATGTCTTATCTGAAACCGCACCCACTTCTGAAATGTACCAACTGTCCATCCATACAGAGATCAGTTCAATGGAATATTTGGGTTTCCAAATAGACCAGGGAGCACAGGTTTGTCCACTGTCTGCCCTGCTTGCTCAGTTATAACACTATATGCCCTTCAGGATATCTCGAGATCTTGCTCTTGATAGTAAATGTTATACGGACTGGTTTGCTTTCCTACATTACATGACCACTCAGAGCACTTTGAGTGTTCTGGCCATGATTTACTGCAAAACTGGAGATTGCATAAAATTATACTCACATTACAGCCTATAAAGCTTAAAACATACACATATTGCATATAGAGTATATACAAAAATGTTCCTATATTTTTTCCATACCTGGACCAATTTGTGTAAAAACAGGGGTGTCTATTCCACCTCTCTTCTTACTGTTAGTGTGTTAGTTTTATCCACTTTTATTTTTATTTCATGTCATTTGCTACATTTTTCTGTTCAGTATCCCATCATCGTTTTCAGCACTAATGTAATCGCAGAAAAATTGTACACAGCACGGCGAAGACTGATTACAAAGCTCAGTCTTTCCAGAGTGATAAAATATTTACGCGGATCGATTTAACACACCTTAAAGGACCTGGTGCGACCTGGACGCAGTTTACACATCAAAATTTAAATACCCACTCAGAGCCTGTTAGCGGGGCAGACGTGCCAGCCATCCTGTGTGAAGTTGCGTCTCCACCTTTCTCACCGCAGAGCGCCTTGAACGGCACACTCCCCTCTGAACAAAGTCAGAACAGCCGCAGGACACATCGGCACATGAGCAGGTAAGCTGCTGGGCTTATTTCTCGCTGATTTGGGGGTCAACGAGATGTCTGAACAGGAAATATGATCTTACTGGGTGTTTAATTAAAGTTTTTAGGGTTTTGGAGTTGAGTTCAAGCGGTGTTAGTGCAGAATATTTACTTATAAAAATAGTACTTTGTTGTTTCGCTGCATCTTTTCAGAGTCTAAAATAGTTTGATTCACCGCGTGCGTAACACAAGTCCGCACACGGAGCTGCACTCCTCCATGAAAGCCGGTATTGATTACCGCTTGGATGAAAAACGCTGCCCAGTGACATGGGTGTGTAAAAGTACATAAGTGGTTGGAAAAACACAAGTACTACAATTTGAGGAAAAAGTGTTACATTTCATTATTTTATGCGACGTATCCTATACATGCTTACAGTGCGCGCGTATGGTCTTTACACGAAACGTATAAATGTCTAATGTATAAACTTATAAATGCTATGGAAGTACCAGCCCGTTCTCACTTCTGGCGTATCATACCGACGGAAATTACACCAAAAGGTCACACAAAAATAAGGAGGATGTATAAGGATGGGTTTGGGTGATTTGTTTTTAAATTTTTGAATTAAAAATTCATTAAAATTAAATTCCTTTTTTCGTGTAATTATAATAAATTTAAAAGGATGTGCACTTTGAAAGAGTAGTATGTGACGTGACAATTTCTCGAGTGAAGTTCTGAAAATGGAAACGAAAAACACTGAATCATCATAAATATGCGTAAATGTATAATTCTGACAAATGATAGTTACAATCAGCTCAAGTTCTTGCCGTTTATTTATTTTTTCATATGCTGCTAAAAAATGTTTTAATTTATGTGCTGTTTTCCTTTCACAACACATCTCTTTTAGAGCAGAGTGAACACATTTATTTTACTAGCCTACACTTTTCCTGTTGGGCAGTTATTACATATGGAATTAAAATTATACATCAACTACAGTAAAACATAAGGTTTCTGAAAACTCACAATTCTAAAGAAATGTTCATAATCTAGATATTAAACAAGAACGTTTCGTGACGATACGCCACTTATTAGTATTAAAGTGCAATGCAAATACTGGCCGGCAGGGGGAAACAATCAAATAGAAGTAGAAGGTTGTAAAGAAGTCAATGAGAACCTGAGTTCCCTCATTCTAAATAATACTAAATCACACATGAAGTTCATTAAGTACATTAAGGTCATTGTTTAAATCAGGCAGGAGAATAAACCACTGTATCCTCATTGGTTAATCACTCACATGTCAATAGATAATGAAAATGCCATACCTCTCACTTTCTCAGATTTACTTCTCAGTTGTGGCTACTAAAAACCCACAAATACAAAAATAAGTTCTTTATTAAATAATTAAAATATCTGGATAAAAACAGTGGTAAAAACGGCGAGTGACATAATGATTTAAACAGATGACTTCGTGTTTAGAATAGATTAAAAACAAAAAACAAAAAAATAATATATCATGTGTGCACATGCTAATTTCACTACAACACTGCAGGACTTTCAAAAATTTTAAAAGTCCTGCAGTGTTGTAGTGAAAATTCTCCAAAGTCCACCATTGTTAGGTCCACCATATTATATCCAAACGCAGCATTTTCACTGTCTGGAACCAAAAGGAAACAAGTTTACACCACCTTTAACAAGAAGAAAAAAACATCTAGTTGATCTCTACGGTCTCAATATTAGATGCTTCTATATCACTACTAAAGTCTTCATATCTGGGTTGACAGATTAATAAAACCCATTTGAAGTGGGTTAAAGCCACAGCAGGTGTGTAATAACCTAGGTCTTGCAGCGTGGTATCCACACTGGCCTGAAAATCTTTAGATTGTAGAAAGAAAAAAAGCACGACGAGCAAACATAACACCTCGGAGGGGACAGGGGACCCCACCTTCTTTACCAAACTCAATTTTAGATGATGTGTTTTAACATTAGGTTTACCACTCTCACAGGTATCACAGGAAGACGTGACTGGGTCATTTAAGGGCTTCTGACCGGAATTAAAACATAGAGCCTTTTCCTAACGGTTAAACACAATCTTTAACACAAAGCGCTCCATGGACTCAATCAAAGCATTATTTTCCTATGACCTACCTCTTTAGCAGGGGGCTACAAAACCCAATCTGTCGTTGTAAACATCACCCACAGGGAAACAAGCCAACCCTGCCTACAAGGGGGGATACTTAGACCTAGTTTCCACCGATTACACCAATCAGTGTCTCCATAAAACTTTTTTAAAAGGCCCTCAACCCTTTTTAAATCTCCCTCGTTTGCTCTTTAATATATTTCTTTTTCTTATTCTCTGTTCATTTTAACTTCTTGTGCATTCTTCTGGAATCCAGTCAAAATAACTTTGGTTCTGTTGGAGTTTTATTTGGAATAATGTTCTCACATATGACACTGACTTATTCTCAAAACATTGCAGGGGAATTAGTTACTTAAGGCTTAAAATTTAATTAAACTCCTCCGCAGCAGGCAGCTCTGATGATTTCAGGTCCTTCTGCACATTATTGCATAAAAAGTAAGTGAATTTTAACTTTTTAAATCTAACTCTATCCTGACTATGAAAGCTAACATTAGAAAAATTTTAAAATTATTGATATTGATTAAGGGTTTCACACATATATGTGTACAGTTGACGTGGTTCGACCGTGTGAACAGGATGCTTCCTGGGCACCTATGACACCTGCACAACTGTGAAGGGGGAGCTTTTGGCATTGAGATCCTGGGATCGATGGATGGATTTAAAATTGATTTAAAAGCCAGTAATGAAATATAAAGTACAATGGCAGTCAGGGCGTTCATAAAGAGCAGGACACTGTAATTCAATAAAGATAAAAAGAACTAAAAAAGACTAAAGCAAGCGTTAGTACGAGGTGTCCTCATTTCTGTGTTTGTTTGCAGGCACTGACTCCTTTGCAGGCACTGACTCCAGGGACTGGAGGAGCTTCATCATGACATATGGCAAGATTCTTCACCAGCCTGAGGGTTGCTTCATTAATGTCAACGTTGGAGGTTTCAAGCAGCGAATGGACCTCACCGTCCTGAAACGATTCCCGCAGACACGACTGGCTCGTCTTCTGTGCTGCAGATCCAAAGAAGCTATCCTGGAGCTCTGTGATGATTTCAGTCCCTCTGAAATGGAATACTACTTTGACCGCAACCCAAGTTTTTTCTGTTACATTCTCAACTTTTATCTTACAGGGAAAATCCACCTGGTCGACGGGCTATGTGTGGTCTCATTCTTCCAAGAAATTGAATATTGGGGAATCAAGGAGCGTCACCTGGACTTCTGCTGCAGCACCAAGTTCCACGACCTGATGGATCTTGCTGAGGATGGAATCTGGGATCAGAGGAGCGACGAGGTGCAGCTCAATAGCTCTGGCTCTTCTATTACTGATCTGTCTGTTTTGGAGGATGACGAACAAATGTTTGAAGGCTCCTGGTGTGCAAATGTCCGCCGGAGTGTTTGGATTCGACTTGAGAATCCAGGTTCCTCCACATCAGCCAAAGTTATGGCTGTAGCATCCCTCGCTGTAGTCATCACCTCCATCGTGGCCATGTGTGTTCACAGCATGCCGGACTTCCATCAGGTGGATCCTGCTGAAAAAAAAATAGAAAATCCAGTGCTGACCTTTTTTGAGAGCCTGTGCGTCGTGTTTTTCTCTGCAGAGTTTATTCTTCGCTTGGTTGTTTCACCATCAGCCAGGAAGTTCATGTGCAGCCCTCTTAACATTATCGATCTATTGTCAGTCATGCCCTTCTATGTCACTATCCTGTGTGACCTAATGAACGAGGGTGAGAGCACAGACCTGGAGAACGTTGGCAAAGTTGTGCAGATCTTGAGGCTGATGCGAGTGTTTCGTGTTTTAAAACTGGCTCGTCACTCAGCTGGCCTTCGCTCTCTTGGTGCCACCTTACGGCACAGCTCCCGTGAAGTGGGGCTGCTGGTGCTTTTCCTGTCTGTGGGCATTTCCGTGTTTTCCTCCCTCATTTACTGTGTGGAGAAAGACTCTCAAGATTCTGAGTTGCAGACTATCCCTATTGGCTGGTGGTGGGCCACCATTAGCATGACGACAGTCGGCTATGGAGACACTTTACCTGTTACTTTGGCTGGGAAGCTCATAGGAACTCTGTGCATCATCTGCGGGCTGCTGATTGTGGCTCTGCCCATTACTAACATCTTTAACAAGTTCTCCAAGTTCTATCAGAAGCAAAGACACTTAGAGCTCAAGCCAAGCAATAACTGCACCAGCATGCACAACTAAAGAACAGCATCTAAAGTCTTACCCCTACAGTCTCATTCATGATTTAACTTTACATCGGCAGGTTTAAGATTTCTTCATCGTCTTCCATGCGCAAGATAAAAGGGTTAAATAAATAGACTGCATGAAAGTTCTGAGTCATGGTCTTGTTTTTTGTAGTTTTGAATTATTTAAATGTTTCTGTGCTTTGTAAAAGGTCACGGGATAGCTAAATATTAAACACAAAACACAGGAGGACGTTAGTGTAAATTTCAAAGATATGCAGTTTAGCATTACTGAGGACAAAGAAGACACTGTAGTTTTTACAAATGGCAGTTAGTGGGCTTTTTACAGAGAACTGACACAGTGTTGCATACTAAAATTACCAACCCCAGTCTTTGAACACAGCTGCCACTTTGTCACAGCTTCAGGATTACCAGCAATTAGCCTGATAGAAGATAACAAATACCAGCTTCAATGTTTCCAGTTCCATGTGCCAGTAGTGTATGAATGAAAAGCTAAAATAAATGTAGATTGTCATCAGATCCTCGCCAATTGTTTTGAGACTGTATTGGAAAAATTAATGTAGTGTCCTATTAGAAATGAATTAAAACAGGAAATGGGTTAATGTCTGCATAAGTGGGAACAAACATGGAGACGGAAACAAAGTCATCAAAACAAAAACAAAAAAAACTGAGTTAATGCAAATATTGAGTAATGTTGAGTAAATCTCATCCTTTTAAATTGCATTAAGGTTTAAAGTTTGCAGGGTTAGCTGTAGCTGCTAGCAGTGATCTCAGCTTTTTTTAGTCTATAGACTGGAACTCTTGACTGTGTTAGTGCTATTGGTACATTTTGGAATAATAACATGACCCGCTGAGCAGTTGATTGTCCAAAAGGTCTATGTTCTAGCTTTGATGAATGCAGCTGTAGTATTTATTTAGTCTGCTGCTTAGCATTTAGTAGCAAATATCTCAGTGTGGGCAATGAACTACTACAGTCTACAGATGCAACTTGGAAACCAAATCTAGTTTAGTGCACTTCTCTTTTGACCAAATATGGTCACCTCTTCTGCCTCTTCTTCTTCATTTTTTAAGGGGTCACTACAGCAGATTATCAGCCCTATCCCTCCTCTGAACATGTCCAAACCATTTTAGCCTTGCCTCTCTAACTTTGCGTCCAAACTTAACATCTTTCGCTCTGCAACCTCCAGCTCAGCCTCCCATCTTTTTGTCAGTTCAACTGTCTCCAAAGCATACATTACAACAGGTCTCTCTACAACCTTGCAAACCCATCTTTTCACTCTTGCTTTTATCGTTCAAACTTACTTGTTATCATCACTACTGTCTCTAAAAAAACAAAACAAAAAAACAACAACAACAAGATGGCGACGGCCACCAAGCCAAAGTTGAGGCTTCAAAATAGAGTCTACAAACAAGTGAATGACATTTCAGAGGCTGTGTTCATTGTTCAGACCCAATCTGTGATTTTTACCAACAAGTGTGAAATATAGCACAGAATTCTAGTAATGTCCTTTGTCTTTACCCATTGCTATCATGCTGCCGCAGACCTGCTATTGATCTGTGCCTCATTTCCCCTTGTCTTGCTTGTATCTTGCTTTCAAATGCAGTTAATTGCTTAATCCAGTGAGATGCCTCTTGTTGTTTGCTGGGTTATCAGTGTAATGAGCTCTTAATCAATGTCCCTGGGCTAAGCGTCAATAAAAAGAACTTGGAGGGTGCTGAATTAACAGTACATGCTATGATGAGTATTGATAACCTGTAAACGGAGACAGTATAATGACTGTGTCGAGGTTTATTATCATTAGCAGGATTTATATTACGTCCACACAGCTCAAAGTTGACTGTGTGTGAGAGCAAACATTGAATCCTCCTCTCGCTGCAGTCACCTTCATCATCAGTATGTATGTGTGTCCTAATCTTCCACAGATAAGATCAATGAAAACAGGCCAAACGTCCTAGCTGCCCTCCAAATGCTGCCAATACTATACAGATGACTGATTTAAATACAAATCACTGAGTGCCTGTGGTGAAGTGGTGCTCTGTAGTCAGATTAGTCTCACAGACTGCTGAAAACAGTCATACTGCAGCCGTCAGCTGTCAGAGAATTGCTCAGCAGCCTGTGACTTCAGCACTTAAATAAATGTTTGCATCAGCACTCAGGAGCACGGTCACCTTTTCTGCTTGATTTCTTTCTCCTGCGCCTTTCCTTTCCGCTAAAAGTCACGCAGTATTGCAATCTAATTCACTTCACTGCGTAGGTTGTTCTAACTGGAAACCACCGTCAGCAATATCTGTGGTTACCTCAGTAATAAAGGTCAGCTGGGAACAGGAACAGAGGGGTGCTTTTTGTCCTGTCATGGTATTCAAACTCTGAAAGTCAATACATGCTGGGAGACTGATAACACAATGATGCAAAGATGCAAAGACAGACAAAGCCAACAGTTAAAACAGTTAAACAAATACAAACTGTATTTGCATTCATGCGTATCGAGTAATTACAGTGAATTTACACAAAGTGTTCAGTAAGCACAGCTTTGAAATAGCTGCAGAAAGGTGCAGAGAAAGGACAGAAAGGACAAAGCTGCAAGCAAGAGAAGACAAAGTTTATGGCATGCAGCCCGAGCCTGGAGCACCAATAACTATAAGCTTTATTAATAGGAAAGCTTTATGCCTTCTTCTACCTTTTCTGTAGTGCTGTGCAAAAATCTTGAGTCACCCCTCATTTTGTTAAAACTTTGCTGGAAAAATTGAAAATGGGTGCAGTGATCTGTTGGAAAATGTACAAACATATATGGAAATACAGCTTATAAGGCAAAAAACAGAGTTTAAATGGTTCTAATGAGCTTAAGAAGACAGTATTTGACTACTTCCAAAAGAAGATGAAGGCTTTTCACTACTCTGGCAAAATATAATTCCTGTAGATAGAGGAACAAACAAAGTACTAAAGGTCTTACGGTAATTTCTTTTTTCAGCATCACTTAAACAGATTATTTCTAGTTTGAAAATATTTTAGAGGTGAAAAGAGGCAGTCATATAGACATGTTTTATTTAAAAATTAAAGGGGAAAGGTGACTCCAAAGTTCCCTTAAAATAGATTGCCTTTCCACAGAAATCTAAAAAGCATGAAAACATTTCTGTCTATAAATTTCTGAACTGACAGTGTTTAGATGTCTAAAAGTAGGGAGTCACAACATTTCAGTATCTCCATATCTATGTTTATTATCTCTGTTAGGTTTTTAGATCTTTGCTACTTTCTAATTTACCTTCACAAGATTTAAATCCATCCCATTTAATCTCCCTCTTAATCACTGCTAACTCAGCACATTCACGTCAAAGAAGGATGTGCTGTGCTCTTGAAATGGAAGAGCAGAGGATAAAAGGACACACTCTCTCTGACTGAAGATACTGTTTTGAATTCGCTGTGAGCTGTAATCCAATCTTGGCGTGGAACTTGATTTAATCCAAATACATATAATAGCAGCAGGAAAGACAGAAACCAGATAAAATGGGCTGCCACATGTTCAAAAAATATGCATCAGAACGACGAGTCTTTTTCAGACACATCTGACTTGCACAATTGAGTCTGTCACAAATTAAGTTGTAGCTTTCTTTGCAGACAAAGCAAATTAATTTGCAATGATTAAATTACACAGTGTCTCTGCCAACTCCCTGACTCAGCCCAAACTCGGTGTTTGATTTCAACAAAAGTGCCCGTGCTTGGATTTCAGCTATTGATATTTGAAGGGTCCACAAATACAATCATGTGCACTCTGACGTGTGAGCACTGCGAGGATTAAGAAACAATCTGATGCTGCCGGATGTAAAGGACTGCGAAAAATTCCATTGTCTCAGAAACTAGGATCAGATTTTCTTTACCACATGAAAATTGATTTTTAGTTTTTTTTTTAGCTCTGCCTGGAAAGATGAAAAAGAAGCAGAATGACATTGAAATATAGATAACATATAAAGTAATGAGAAAAGGAGCTAAAAAAAAAGTGACACACAACATTGGCTTGTATTTAGGAGAGCAGAGACTGGTGAAAGAGGGGACGGTCACATCTATTTCTGGATTATTTATTTATTTATTTAAATATTTCGATCCAATTAATATATTTTTTCCTCAAATATTTACAATGCAAATAAAATGCATTTTGCATATTATTCAAATAAATTTGATAAAAATATCCCTTTATAAAAAGGGAACTGAATCAGGCAGGTGATCTCTGACACTTGGCCTCTATCTATGTCACCACTGGAGAGATGAACATGGTTATTTCTTAAAGCATATAGTTAGGGCTGGACCAGGTGAGCCTGAATCCTCCCTTAGTTATCCTGCAATAGGCATAGGCTCCTGGGGGACTCCCATGATGCATTGGGTTTTTCCTTTTCAGTCACCTTTTTCACTCACTATGTGTTAATAGACCTCTCTGCACTGAATCATATTTGTTATAAATCTCTGTCTCTCTTCCACAGCATGTCTTTTATCCCGTCTTCCTTCTCTCACTTCAACCAGTCGCAGCAGATGGCCCCGCCCCTCCCTGGGCCTGGTTCTGCCGGAGGTTTCTTCCTGTTAAAAGGGAGTTTTTCCTTCCCACTGTTGCCAAAGTGCTTGCTCAGGGCTTGGGTCCTGGTTGGAGTGCTCGCTCGTAGGGGGTCATTTGATTGTTGGGTTTTTCTCTGTATGTATTATTGTAGGGCCTACCTTACAATATAAAGCACTTTGAGGTGACTGTTGTTCTGATTTGGTGCTATATAAATTGAATTGAATTGAATATATTCAATAATTTGGTGTTTTGATTATGATTCTAATTGTGGTCACCTTACATATGTTTATACATACATTGTGACTTTAAGTTTGGAGAACTGTTACTTCTTTAACAGCAAATGCCAACTATAGGTGTTGTTGGGTTATAAGAACACAGTTTATGGTACAGCTGTGCCAAACGTCATATTGAACTGACAACACTTAGAAATGAAGCTACAAAGCAAAGATGCCTCATTTTGTTAAATGCCTGTTTCCTCAAGTCCTCTTGTAGGATATCTTCCTCACCTCCTCTGCTTCCATCTCTGCAGGAGGCTCTGAAATGCAAGGAGAGGGGTCAAAAAG